AAGGATTATGAAATGCTGCCCGAACACCGATAAGCAGCAAACTCTTAACATGGACACCGTAACCAGGGACGTACAGATCACTTTACGACGATATCATCTAGAAAGGAAGATATTTTTTCAATTGATGGAATTGAAAAGATTGCAAATACGCCATGGCAGAGCTAACGAACAAGTTTTGATTAAAAGACAAGTAACAATATTGGAAAATAATATTGCAAGATATAATGATATTATTTATCTAATTTGATTAATTATTTTATAATAATATAATTCCTTTAGGTGGATGCCTTCCATAAAGCGGGAATGTCTGGTCCAACGCTTGGCGTGGCGAAATACGACCAACCTTTAACATTCAGGTTATTGTTTTCTAAATTTTGGAGAATATCTCTTGCCAATAAGAAAATAATTAATTATTTCTTACTAGACACTTTGAGGCTTTCTTGTACGATCAACTCAGGAAGCTTCAGAAAAGGCCAGCAACCCCAGATTTCTGCACGGAAGCGAAACAATGCACCCAAAAAACTCATCGCTGTCATCACGCTACAAGCGCTTACACCTCCTTCCCTGTGTACACATATCGTACGTTATTACAGTGCATTGCTGTATAGGAAGTAAGTTTCAGAATTCCATTTCACTTGTTTACACTTGTTTAAATTTTTTTTAATAGAATTTATTTTATCAAAGATGGCCTGTGTTGAATTGAGAAATATTAAAAAATGATATGAAAAAATTTTTTCATAAGAAATTTTTAACAATATGCGCGTATTTTGAATGAAAATGAAAGCCGAAAAAGTTTCGTGAATAAGAATTATGAAATGGTATTCTGAATAAGAAAATTCAATCCGAAAGACTTTCAAAAGGAATCAGTTTCCCTATTGTGATTGTAGATTATAATTGCAGTAGGTGGAGGCGGCCAAGAACAAACGGATCTTCTTCCGAAGATAGAGAGTCGTGGAAAGGGACAGATGACGGTAAAATGAAATTATTTGTATATATGAATGCGTTTAAATATAAATATAAAACGAAATTTTTAAATTATTTATTTAGTCAAAAGTGTAATGTAATGACGTAACTAATTATTCCGTGTTGCAAAAATATATATCTATATAATTTTTACTTTGACTGCAGGTGGAGGTAACGCATGGAGAGGAAAAACAGATAATAGCTCTTCCAGCTGAAAGACTAGATCGTTCTAAAAAATATTACGTAACGTTTACTGTCAGGGGGGAAGCACAACAGGAAACCGAAAAGCCTAAATCGTCGGTTGGTGTCCAAAGGAATGCCAAAAGTGTTTAGAAAGTCTTCGAATCACATTTGCTACACCTCTCCATTTTAGCAATTCCGGCTACGATTTTCTATTTGGCGCAAAATATCAAAAATGTTTCTATACTTTTATATCCTCTATCGATCATGTTTCATAAATGCAATTGTTTCACACGTGGGATTTTCTACATATTAAAAATGTATAATATGTTTTCTACGTATTAATTGTATAAATTAATTTCACAACGAAGCAATGATTCCCTATATATCGAATTAATAATTTTATGAGTAAAAACTGCCAGAGGAAACTGTGTATGGAAAAAAATATATTCTGTACAAATTCCATTGATGTCATTGTAAAAATATTAAATTATATTATATCATAAAGATGTAAAATTGTATAATGAGTCGAATCAAAATGTATTTAATGTATGAAATCTAAATTTTATGACATACAATTTTATGCATTCAATTGATTCAATTATAAAATCAGATAAAAGAAGTAATCTTTCGTAAAATAATCTAATTTGTTAATCCGATTCGTTAAAAATCTTTTAATCTTATTTGAGTATCGATAAATTGTATTTATAAATTAAATTTTAAAGAAACGCAAATTTAACCATGTGTATAATAAAATATATTATGTTCTTGCAAAAAGCAGGGACCACGATGCATAAATGTCCTGTATATTTGTGTAAAGAAAGCTAATATGTAATTCTGTGTAAAATAAAAAACCTATCCAGATTATATTGAATCTAATTTAATGTATTCAAAATGCTATTATGTTAATCATAACAAGCTTTGAAAGAATAATTCTTGTGATATTTTTTAAAAATTTTATATAAAAAGTTATAGGAAGTCACTCTTTTGCACATATATTTTCTTTTTTTTTTTTTTTCTAATTAACAAATTTTCTATCAACATTTTACATTTTTACATTTCTATTCGTTACATTATTAAAGAAACCTGAATCACTATTTTAAAAGAAATATACGTATCCACTGCATGTTCACACAAGAAATTAACATTAATTTATAATGTAATTCGAAAATAATCATACTTAAATAAATATAAGATGATATCGTACTAAATAATAATTATCAAGTAAAAATTCTTCTCGAATATACTTCAGTCTCTATACAAATGGAAATATCGTTCAAGTGTCGTTATTATGTCGTCATATAATAAATAAATAGATAAGTAAAATAGTTACAACAGATTCAACTAGCAACTCGTAGGAATTATCGATCAGGCATAGTGACGTAGTTAAACAAATGGTTGAACGTTTAATCGGTTCGGTTTACTAGTGAAACATACCGCTGCCAGTAAATACGGCTGCCATACGGTGTTTCTGTCAATAATGCCGACAATAAGAATCAGACCGACGACAATGTATCTTGAATATTCCATGGAACAGACGAGATTTCTTTGAGAAGCTTTCGCATGGACAAATGGCTCCAAGATAGGAAGCTTTGGCTTTTCGGTAGCACACTACCTCTGCTACCAAGGAGGTAAATATGTATGTGTATTATCTTTTTATGAGTCTCTATGAAGATTTTTAAAATATAATCACGAAACGTAAGAAAGTATTTCTTAATATAGAAAAAAATTTTTTTTCATGGGAAAGTTTTAAAAATTGTGTTTTATCGTTTCGCGGTGAAAACTTTATTTGTTAGAAATTAAATAAAATTTTCATTCCTTCGTTTAATAATTGATATTTTACTTTTTTCAATGATTGAATAACAAATATGTTTAAAAAAAATTGTAAGAAATATATTGAATTGTTTTTGAATATTTCTTTTTCTAATTTCTTTCTTTTTCTATTTCAATCAATATATTTTTATCTCCTTTTTTATTTTGAATATATTTTAATATATCTTTGTAATAGTATTTTTAATCAAAAAAAAACTTTTTCGATCAAAATTATATGTAGGATAGGTAAATTATATCTGTTTTTATTCATTAATCTTATTTTTGATATTAAATTATTTTCTTCTCTTGAGAATGAGATTAAAATGAGTAAGAATATGTAGAATATCGTAACCGGAAGATTCTTTTCAGGATACGTGACTTTGACATTGAATTGAATCGATCAATATTTCTTAGTTTAAACACGCAAGATATATTATATACATGATACCACAGACAAAGTATAGAATAGATTTAACATTCGTGCATTTTTTTTCGAAGACTAGAATTTTAGTGTTATTCTCAACAAAGAAATAAAATTATAAATAAAAAAAATAATATTCTATTATTGAATATTTAAATATATATAAAATATTATGAAATAATCCATATTATATTTTTTATATTCAAAATTAAAATATATATTTTGAAAGAAAAATGATGGAAGTATATTGAATTGAAATTTTGTATTTCATCTATGATCATGCGCTGAAAAAAGTATTAGAAAAAGAAAGCAAATAATGAGACAAAGACAGAAATAGGATAAAAATATGGGAATCAGCGCCATCTTCAGAGTGCCGCAAATGAAACTAATAGACAAGGAAAGAAAATAAAAGAAAAAGGATAGAGATAGAACAAGAATTGATGATTAGCACCATCTCTGGTTTATCACAAACATTTCTTTAAAAATTGTTTCCTAAATTATTCGAAAGATAGCGCTGATCTTTAATTCCCACTTATCTTATATTTTTTAGCGCCCAAGAAATGGCGCTGAATGTCAATTCTTATTCTATCTCTATCCTTCTTCTACTATTTTCTTTCCTTGTCTATATAGTTTCATTTACGGCACTCTGAAGATGGCGCTGATTCCCATATTTTTACTTTGTTTCTGTCCTTGTCTTTTACATATTTTACGTATTACATATTTCTTTCTCTTTCTTCTAACTTATTCTTTTTCTTAACCAGTATCTTACAGGTAATCTGATCATGTGACATCGTGGATCCGAAATTTCTATCACATTAATAACTCTTAATAATCATTTGATTCATCAATCATGTTAAATTCTATTCCCATAAAGTCACTCCTAGAATTATTAGAAAAACTTTTGCAATCCATAATTATTATAGATTCATTAATTCTTCTATTTCGAGGTAAGTTTATAAAAATTTACAACTCTGTTTGAATTGACATGTTTGAATTATCAAATAATGTTATGCATAAGAAATATCTATTTTGCAGTTAACTGAATAAAACATTTAGAAAAAATATTTATAAATTTGTTGTCCTTTTTATATTAATTCTCTATAAGTTTTATTCTATTTTTTAAAACCAAAAATATGATATACATAATTCTAACCATGTTATGTTAACCATGCAATTATATATTATAATTGCAATAAACAGGATATTTTTAATGAAAAATTTATATTCTACTAGATATATTATATTCTGATAAAAATTTGTCTCACAAATATGAAAGCAGTTTTCCAATGTTCTCAACAATTATATTTTCAATAGTGAGAAACAAACATATGAACGTGCGTATTGCTATTCATTTATATTATAACGTATAACAAAAAGAATATACAATCAAGAAAAAATAAAAATAACATTTGTGACTCTCGTATCATTTAAATAATAAAATGTTTTTTTTTTTAGTCAAACATTTTCTATTGCTTGTTATTACAATTATATCATCAATTTATTTAAAGATTCTTTATTTCATGAATAAAATATTCATTAAACTGTATCATGTTATTAATTATAAATATCTTATCTATTTTATAGATCTCTTTCTCGTACATATGTATAACCAATCAATAATTCCAGGATTTCCTTTAACTATAAATTCTCTTTTCGTATCTTTAACGAAATTGAAGTTCACTACACTCGAAGGAATATTATATAATTTTCGTCATTTTGTTATTATGCTAAAAACAATTCAACCTGGTTCATAGTCATTATTTAAACATAGACAATGTAGCAGCTTAATATCGATTGTCAATAATCAAGAGTTCAACAACAACGCAAAGTAGTCTTTCATCAAGTTTAGTAGCGCTCGGTATGTTCAACGACAAAGGTGTTTCGCCATCGAAATCTCATGAATGCTATTCTCGGATTTTTGTATGTATATAAAAGCTAAAAAAAAATAATATAGAAAAAAACGTTATATAATTATAAATAACTCTTTATAATTTTATTCTTTACAATTATGTATTTATAAATCAATTAATTTTTATTTTATTATAGTTATTGCACAATTATTGCATTTAATTATTATATAAAATTGTTGTAGCATTATTCTACAATTTCCTGCACAAGAATTTGTTTCACATCAAATGGTATTCATTTCATTGTTAGAACATTTAATTATCATAAAGTTTAAATTATTGAATTATTAATTAGATTGAATTTCATTTTCATTATAATATTAGTTATTTTTATAGAAAAAATATATATCATTTTCTATGAATTATTTTTATCGATTTTGAGAATGTTACGATTGCAGATTCATATTGTAACAGGCATTTAAAACATATAGAATTCAAAATAATAAAATGTGTGTTTTATGTGGAAAAAATATGATTGGAATATAAATGCGACACGAAAGAAAAGGTCAAAACAATCATGCAGTTTTTTCGAGGATTTAATTTTTAAATATTCCAGGCAAATAATCAATTCAATTATTTTTCACTCGACGATAACACGCGATTCATTTGATGAGAATAATGGCAATAGTATTCACTTTATTATTGTTTAAGTAGGCCATAGTTGACAACGTCATTGACGTTGTCATAATTTAAAGATAGAAATATTTCTTTGAAATAAAAGTTTGAAATAGTTTTGAAAATTATATTTAATAAAATTATTTGAAATAATTATAAAATCTAAAATTTTTATTAATTTTTATTAATTTTATTAATTGCAAAATAAAATTTTTTCTGATTCAAAAGAAATATTCTTACGATTTTTCAATTTTTCGAATTTTATAAAATAATCCACAATACATATAATTAATAAATATAAATATATTCCATTGATTTGAAGTTGATAGATTTTCGATTCATGAATTCAGTTGCAGATGCAACTGAATGGATGCAATTGCAGAGCCGTTGAAACGTTTTTAATTAACATCTTAACCTTTCAATGGTAGCGATGCATTTTCTGCCGATTTAAAGTTGATACCGTTTTAAATGTTTAATGATAATACTGCTAAATTAACAAATACCTGAAACCATTGATTTTGGTTATATTAAAAAGACACGAATATGCTGATGAAGTGCTTCCACTTGTCTCGATATGGTCAACGATTTAAGATTCGCAAATTATCGGCAGCATGTGCCACTTTGGTAAGTCACTTTATAAAATATTAAATATTCTATCAATTTCAATTCTATAATTTCAAATTTCTATCATTAATAAAGATATAAAGTGAAAAATCTTTATTAAAAATTTATAGGACTTATATACAATATGTACAAAAATAACAACATAAATAGTGACTCTATTTACTATGAAAATAAATTGAAAAAACAAAAATAAAATTTTTTTTGTTTTGAAATTTTATTTTCGAATAAATTAGATTTTATAATTTTTCAATTGAATTTGACTAATTCTCAATTGAATATAAATTAATTATATAGTAGAAAGTTACTCTACATATGAAAATAAATGTAAAATAAAATATTTTTATTTAAAATTATTTTTATACAAAATTAAATTTGAAAATTCTCTTGAATACTCTTCTTGACTATTTAAATTCGATCTTAATTGTCCAAAAAATAAAATTCTCTATATAAATACCAATATAATTGATATTTAAATCAAAAATATCAATTATTGTATATAATATATCTATATAACAATGTAGAAAAATTTATTAAAATATTTATTCACTTTAAGAAATAATGTGAGAAACTTTTAATACAAGTACTGGAATTATAAAATTTATACGCAAAATAGTCGAGATATATGAGATATTCTTTCTATTCTAAGAGCGCTTGCGCTGCAAGTTCCGATTCAAATAAAGGCGAAATAGGGGAGCTTGACCCTTGGTCATCGTCGAGAATACAGTGTGGTTTGCAACCTTTATAGTGATAGCATGCTCTTTACGCAGCAGTTCACCTCTTTGCCATGCCTTGCCAAGTATAAAAAGTGGGTACGAGCCCAAAATTTCTTTAGAAATTTTGGTTTTATTTACCTTCCTTCTCGGAAGATCTCAAGTACCGCGACATATGTATTCATCAATAATTATATAAAATTATACATATCTTAGATTATTTTTGCTTCTTTAAATTTAATTGCATTCATAATTGAAATTATTTCTTTTTTATTTGAAAAATTATTTTTATTTTTTAAATTTTTTTTCAATTTAAAGCAACATTACTGAATACTAAATACACAACTTGCACTTTTTTTTAAAAATTTCTTTTACTTTATTCTTGATATTAATGAAATTATCATCAATATTGTCTTTATTCTCAATCGTATAAATTATGAATTATCGGAATTGAAAATTAGCAATTATGTTAGTCCATATTAATCCATGTGAAGGATGCATCCTATGAATCGCGATTGTCATTACACTTCAATGGGAACACGCGTGCATTCACGTGTCATGGTATATGAAGATAACATCCGCATCATACTTATAACTGTGTCACATATAATATAGAGCTGTCGATTTTCGGTATAAAAAGTATCCACGATGTTTCAACACTTTTTGCTATTTCATAGTTCTTTCGATAATGACGCATCGTATGCATCATGCAGTACGCAATGTTTATACAATCTATATAATTAGTGACACGCATATATATCACATATGAAATGTGTATTATGACAAAAAAAAATGTGGATTTATGTATATTGCTTTTTAAAAATCGGTTTTGAATAGATTTAATGAAATAATTACCTCATATCACATGTATAAATATATAGTCAGCAATTCTATTTGTTGTCTAATGTGATGACCAACATCATTATTATAATTAATATTTAAGTACGATGTCATATTAAATTATATATTTATATGTTTATAAAATTATATTTCGTGATTAATTTCATAGAGTGATTATTATTTATAAAAGAAATTATTTTTCTCATAGGTCACGCGCGCCGAGCAAGGCGATGGAACGATACGAACGACTAGCACGTCTTGGAGAGGGTAGCTACGGTGTAGTCTTCCAGTGTAGAGATCGGCAAACTGGAAAATTGGTAGCTGTAAAAAAGTTCCAACAAACCGAAGATGATCCTCTTATACGCAAAATTGCGCTACGTGAGATAAGACTCCTTAAGGTCAGTGGTTACGTCATAAATAGAGAGAAATAAACTTATGCTTTATACAAAAACTTATAACTGAAAAAAATCTAATTATGTTTTTATAAGAGTATATATCTATTACCACATTAAATATTTTTTTCTTACAATTATTACACGTTAATAATCATTATCGATTTATTTATATCATGGTATATATAAATTTGATACAATAAGCATAGCTCTGAAATCTCTATATCATATATAATATTTTTTATTGTAAGTATCATTTAAAAAATGATGTACATATCATTATTTATCGATTTGGTACATATAGAACATATTTAGATGATAGTAGATAGGAAATAACCGAAAGTTGTATAATATAATAAAAGTTTCAATATTTAATATTAAATTTAAAAAAAAAAGATTTCTTTTCTATCAAAAAAAAAAATATATGTTGTAAAAAAAGAATAAATAGAAAAAAAGAAGAAAAGTTAGGCATCATTTCTCATCTTATCTAAGAAATACGCCTCTTGCCTTTAATTCCTTCTTCTTTAGTATGGCTTTAACTCTCTCCGTATACTTCCAGGTGAACGACCTTTTGCAGCTTGAAGATACTAAAGCTTCTATTCTATTCATCGTGAATTAAAAAAATTTTGCTTTAAAAATATCGAAAATCTATAGTATTATTGATTTCAATTATGAAATTTATGATTCTTAAATTTTTTGAACAAATAATTAATTAGTTCATAGAAAGAAAATTTATAATTTCACGTAACAAAGTAAAAGCATAAATTTCTTGGTGACTGCAAGAAGTGGCCAACGGTCAATACCGTGGCGGTCAATATCTTAGCGTGTTCTGAGTAACCTAGCCTTATCGAAATAATCGGAAGGTTCTCTCCCAAACATATGCACATTCAAACGAGCCTCCACTCTGCTCTGATATTTCGTTTCAAGGATATTTTCTTTCGTGTACACAATAAATTCAGGACGTGATGTTAATGATTTTTTTTTCATGCAATTTCTAATAGCAAAATCTGTTCTGATAATAAGTTGAAAAGAAAAATTAGAGGTACAGGTTTTATTCTTATTAGAGCCATGGCATTTCTATATATATTTATAGAATTGTTTTATAAAATATATTTTAACAAATAGCATTTTTACAATTTTGCAAAAAAATAGCTATTCTTATTTTAATTCTTAACGTAATGTTATTATTTGATAATATATATATATATATATATATATATATATATATATA